GCCTGGCGATTTTCATCTATTGATTCTTCCTGGAGTCCTGCGATAGGCCGGCTAGAGCATTTCCACGTAGAATGGAGCGTGTATGCCGATCAAACACAAGTCTGATGGTACCAATTTTGTGATAATAAAGGGATAAGAGAATTTGTGAGCTCGGCGCGCCGTTGAGCCAGCATCGTTTTCATGATAAACGGCACCAATACCGCTGCGATGCTCCCTCTCTTTTCATTGTTATTGATTTTAAAAACAGTTCCCTTGTTACATTAGCTACAAATTGATTCCATCTATCAATAACCCTAGTGTTTCTGACCACGAGCAACCAGCAGTCACGTGTGTGCTAAATCGATTTTCCAGGTGCTGTTCCGTTCTTACGGTTCTTGTTTCCATATTATCGTTTTTCTCTTCCGTATTCCCTTACTAAGTGCACCTTCACTTTAATGGTCTTACGTTAAAACTTGTAACATTTAAAATTTTTATTTACGTTTGGGACCACAGTAGTTTGATGTCGACTTAGTTGACGATGACAGGTTTTTACGGGTAAGAGTTCTCTTTCCTTCCCCTATAGATCTTTAGCATGAGAATAGATAAAAAGAAACAATAATATGAAGAGGAAAAGAGGTACTGTAGTGAAATACTAAATCAGACTGCGAGTAAACGTTTTATTATTGATGGTCAATCGATTAACTAAGCAATCGGCCTATCAATCAGTACCCCTTAGGGAGTCTGCCAAATTTGTTTTGCCATCCTTCATACTGTTTCTCATCACAACCACTGATTGATGATATTTACTTAATTAATTTGACGTCGATCACCATCATTCATTCCTACTTCTTCTTTTTTCTCTCCTCTCAAAAAATCATACAAACACTCCTCCTTGTCCTCCAGTAGGATCTTAGATCTCACTGCATTCATTGACGTGAGATGTTCAGCTGTCCGAGCTTAATGAATTCCCTTCTGGCGGGCGTCCGTAATTAAGTTTTCCTAGAAAGAGTTTTCCATTGCTTGAAGACGACTAAGAGAGGAAAAATATTGATGATATGTACGATTGAGCTAATTTCTGCCCACTTTCTGCCACTCTGGCCTCAATAAACTTCAACAAATTGCTCCTAATTTGCTTTCCTTCCACAGTATACAGTAGAGTTCATGCTTTCCCTACTATTATTTTTTTCCAATGTTAATCCCTCTTAATTCATGAATTTACGATATTTCATCCGTTTTATTCGAATTACAGAAAATCTGCAATACGCAGAGAATTTCGTTACATAAGTCCTTTAATATTAATTGTGACCTGCCACCTGTATCACTTGTAGTCCCGTTGGTCGTCGAGTGACTCGAGCGGACGCTAGCAAATCTTCTACTTTTCCCTGTCGCGTGCAAGAGTAGCCCAGTGGGTTCCGCTCGCTCTACGGAATCGTCGAGCATCATATCTTTCTTCTAGGCTCTTCGTGAAGAACTCTTACCATCGAGTCAGTGGTCTTCCTGCAGTGCGTTCAACATCCCGAGAAATCTAGTCATTAACGGCTATTGTCCATCGGTTGTCATTCATACGCATTACGTGTCCGGCCCACCTTATCTTCGACTGTTTGGCGTGCAGAACGGCATCTTTGATTTTTTATCATTGATACAGGTCTGAGCTTTGCATCCCTTCCCTTGTGTGACGCGGGATACTCCTCTCTTGAAAGCTTCCCAGACCGCTCGTTCCCTTCTGCTCAGGTCTGGAGCTAGGTCGTTTATCACGTTGATTTCCCGATCTAGATAAACGTAACTGGATCATTCGGAGATATTCGTTCCGTTGAGCGTGAATGGGGCATGCGAAACCAATTCGTTCCTCATAAACATCGTTTATGTGAGATTTAGCCGAAGGCCAATCTTTCCACAGGCTTTATCAAAGTCGGATAGCATTCGTTCTGCTTGGCTAATGTTTGGTGTAATAAGGACAATGTCATCAGCAAAGTGAAGATGGTGTAACTGCCTGCCGTTTATTTTCCCTCCCATATTATTCCATTCTGCTGTTCGCAAAACGTTCTAGAAGATGGCGGTAAATAATTTTAGCGAGATGGTATCGCCTTGGCTAATCCCTATTTTGACGTCAATGTTAATATCGTTGTAGAATGGTGATATCTTGGTTGTGAAATTTTTCTACAGCTGACCAAGAATCTTCATTTACTGAGTAGGGACTCCCTGACTATCAAGGGCTTCCATAACTGCTTCTATCTCGGTTGAGTCAAAGGCCTTCTTTAAATCGATAAAAGTGAGACAGAGCGGTCTTTTGTACTCTCGCGATACTTCAATGAGTCTTGTTATCGTGTGGGTGTGGTCTATCGTACTAAATCCTTTTCGAAACCCTGCTTGCTCACATGGCTGCCTTTCGTCTAGTGTTCTGTCAATCCTGTTTAAGATTACTCGAGTGAAAAGCTTGTAGGCAACAGAAAGGAAGCAGATTGGGGGATAGTTGCCCATATCGTGCAGGTCACCCTTCTTGAATAAAAACACGCTCTTGCTGGTCTTCCACTGACTAGAGACCTTGCATTCAGACAGGTAACGTGTGAAGAGCCGGGCCAGTGTGTTTACGAGGGCAGGGCTGCTATTCTCTCTTTAAGATTTTCTTTAATCGCCTAGCCACTCACGCCGTTCGTTGCATTCTAATCCGTGGATCCCAATGTGACGTTCTTCTTTGTCCAATATTGGCATTGAAATCTTCAGTGATGACCTTGTAGAATGTATGGTCTTCTCTGTAGAACTTTCCCAAGTCCATATAGAACGTTTCGACTTCTTCTTCATCATAGTTTGATGTCGGCGAGTAAACGACGAAGATTGTCAAAGCCGGTGTTGATCCAGGTTTTTCAATAGTAAACGTCCGTAACTGTGACACGTTATAAAATTCTAGTACAAAGTAGTTCGCCATCGTTGTCAACGCCTTATGCACGCATGCTTTGATTTCCAATCGTTCTAAACGAGAATGTTTGCGTAGATTTTCTGACATCCCTTAGAATGCGAATGTCTTCCCGCCGCAATTTTTATTTGCGAGATTTTGTAAGCCATCTTCCTAAAACACACATATACACTAAACACCGTCTGTACTTCCAGAGTACTTCTTAAATGTTAAAGGTACTTGGACACTTCGATGACCCGTCTTCAGTGTTTGTGCGGGCCCTAGCATAACTTTCTTTTTTTCGGAGCCTTGCTAGTGTAACCGTTGTGGTTCGCCGGAGTTCCGGGGTCAACCTAGCCAAAGTCTGCCCCAGTTCTTCACCACCACAGTTGGCCGCCTGCCTTTGTGGATCACAGGGAATTTTGTCACCATGTGACTGGTTTCATACCAAGACGGTGACGGATCTTGGTACTGGTTTACTCTTAGCTGGGCATTTCCTGATGGAAATGCCGGACTCCTTATCAACTTGGGAGATCCTGCCGTGTTGACGATTCCCGTCGCTGTAAATGTCAGCGCGATACCCAGGAACACCTCCCAGCTACGATGAGGCGGTACACCGTTGGAGTGGAATGTCAAAGAATAGCGTTCAAATTCAACAACTTCATGCTTTATTTTTGAGACGGTTGTCTATCGATGGTTTCGTTCATTTGAGGTGAAATGTGATTTCTCTTTATATTCGTTCATTCTGCGCAGCCTGTTTAATGCTATTATTATACTGTCAACTGGACTTCATAACTGTTTGATCCATGGCACCATCATTCAAATGGATTTTCGTATTACCTTAATTTTTGTTTGATTTTCTTAAAATCAGCAGTGGGTTTATCTCGCCGATGCGTCGAATCATTCCCTTTGCTCTACCAAATAAGTCTGGTACCGAACCGACTACCCTGGAGAGATGGAGAATGGGATCGAACTGAGGACTTCATGTGTACAAAAGGCGCTGCGCTACACGTGCTCTATATCCCTCGTATCACCTTTATTTCTATTTATTATCAATGATTCTAGTGTCGACACAAGCAAGCTGCTCATTTTCCCTTGTCTCCTGCCAAAACGACTTAGTGGGCTCCACTCACTAAGGTCCACGTGGTTTTTTCTAAGAGGGATTTTATTTTTATTGTCAGTGGCGATAAGATAGTCATGGTGAGTTCGTCAGGCTCTGCTATGGCATAAATTTACTCTCAGTTCTTCTTCGGAATGGAAATACAAAAATCGCTCTTATTTTGGGTACTCCTAATTGAGAATAGGTTCTCCCCAGACATCATCTTAAAGCAATAAACTATTGGAGAGGATTAGTGAATAGTCCTAAAGGATGTAAATCTGTGAAAAAACCATATATTGATTCCTAATGCAAAATATGAGTATCGATTAGCTCTTAAATAGATAAATGTAGTACGTATGACAGCATTTCATTCCTTTCAAGGTATCTTTACTCCTATTAGGCTCTTATTGTTGATCGATTATTGGTTAGGGCTAATTTCGTGACTTTTAACTTTTGATTGTGTTATGTTCTTATTCTCGTTGTTTTTTTTTCCAAAAGATGTATACATAGTAATTCGTACCTATTCGCACTTCGTAATTTATCGTAACTTTTAGTGACTTTAGTTCTTTGTGGTGATTTTAGTGAAGCATTTTTAATATAGGGCTACAACATCGATATGACGTCATTTGCGAGTTGGGAATCGAAACCAGGTCGGAGATTTTCGATTACTTGCATTATTCAAGGCGAGAACCAGAGTCTTGATGGCCTTGTCGTACTAGTGGATATCAAAGACATTTTCTTACATCCTGTACCTTTAAAATAAAAAAATTCCACCGTCCGCTTACGATTCCACTCTTCATTAATTCTGCTCTTTCTGAAGTTTGCGACATTTTGGACGAATCCATTCACTAAAATTTGATGGTGAAAACCGAATTGCAGATGGGGATTCATCAGAATTGTTCCATTTCCAACAACTGTGAGCAAAAATCGATTATCGATTCTTACCTAGTTCCTATATTGATTATTTACATTTAGTGAACACAGTTTATACATCGTCTTTCAGCTATACATAAATTTACGTCTGTTTCATTGTTGACCTTCCATACTACTAAATCATCTCCCAGACGTTTTTTATTGTGTTTTTCTTTTTCAGAAATCGAAAGCATCAAAAAATTTTTCCGTACTATCATTCATGAAGAAGATGTAGACTATGCTCGATTTGAGTCCAAGTAAGTTTTAACAGCACATTAAAATGAATATACTGTTACCTTTATCCAATCTCTAACTAGGAATCTGATGAAAATGCATAACTACTATTAGTTAATATTAAATATAATAATATACAATAAATAACCGTTCCGATCACCAGTTTACTGCTTCATCGCGGCTGGGAGGTGTTCCTGGGTGTTGGGCTGCGATGCACAGCTGGGGGTTCATTTTCTCAAGAGGCCCTCCAAAGTTGAGAAGGAGTCTGGCATTTTCATCAGGAAGCCCAGCGATAAGTAAACCAGTACTAGGATCCACGCGGCAGGTGGCTGTGGTGGCGGCGGCATGGGACAGACTTTGGCCTGCCTCCTGCCTAACATCAGGACTCGGAGGAATCGCAGTTGGTTAAACCAGCAAAACTCCGACAAAATGGAGATTATGCTGAGGCCCGCTCAACCACTGAGAATGGACCATCCAAGTAAATAAGCGTTCGGCGCCAATGAATCCCTGAAAGACGTGTCACGCATTCGACTCAATTCATAGCATCGTAGAGGTGATTGAATGCTTATCTGACCTGTACAATGACTTGTGGTGGCCTACCGATGTGAAGAGTCAGTGCTGCTAGCCACCCAGACAAGTCTAGTACCAATATGCCGACCCTGGAGGGATGAAAAGGTACGTGAGCCTTGGTCAGTCGTTAGATCGAACCAAAAACCTCGTGTGTATTGCGTGAGACCTTTAACCACTGATCCATAAGCGCCTCTTATAATAAATGATAACAAGTAATAACAAGGATAATTAATATCTGATAATAGATAACAATGTAGTAACTAGTAATAATAAGTACTTACAATACTGTTATAACTATAGGAGCAGAGTGTTGACGACTTTGTTTAAGGATGGATGGCACCGATATCGTTACGTTTCGTGAAAATGACAAAGCTTTTCGATTATTTGGCACAAATATTCATGTAAAAGTAAGTTTCTCATTGAAAACTTTAAGAAGCCGGCCTTTATAAACTCCCGATGATATTGATTAGAAATCGATCGATACATATACGCGAATTTTCGGGCACTGTACAATTCAAGAACGGGCGATAATCGAGAGTATTATCGACTATTAGTAGACATTTTCAACAAAGAAAGACGGAACAAACAATTCTGAAATGCTAAAATTTACTAGAATTTCTTTCGTATGTTATCCGTTAAGCTTTTTTTTCTACGTAAAATCTCCAGGGAGAACAATTTACACCTGTCGTTTGCAAAAATTGGAGTTGCTTGTGGTCCTAGCGTGAAGGCGATTACGGTTGTCAACAGAAGTCTTTTATGCTCTGTCTAATTCGGCGCTCGTCTAAATATTGGACTAAGCAAATCCTACCGTACCTCTTTATTACCAGATAAATTTTATAGGAGATTAAAAGCAAATAATTGGAATTTAAAAAAGAAGCCTGTAAAATCACATACATAGGAAAATGTTCTTCGTCGTCTACTTTGAAAGCTGTGTGGTATTATTGGTAGTACGGTCAAGCATCTTCAGGAAGGAATTGTAAGCACATTGCTATGATATAAGCAACGCTCAGAATCTCATTTAAGCTTAGAAGCTGTGATTACCTTTACCGGAGTCTCACATGGTATCCATCTCACCAGCTGAGGCTTTTGGTTTGTCTTCCTAGCAGCCATATTTTTACTCTGGAGAGCTAAGCCAGTTAAGCTGAAAGTACAGTCAAAATCGAAATGTTTTAACTTTTATTTACTGTCAATTGCTTTTTCACGGCATGGTACGATGCGAAGGACAACTGGTGAGGATGCAATAGTATCCTACCATGAAAAAAGAATAGGGAGTAAAGAAGAGTTGCAATATCGTGTAAACACATTGTTATGCTCTTATATAGTAAGCATATCAGTGGTATTCTTACGGCTACAGGGATCACTCCACCTTCTTGAGGAATTCGACAGCCCGTTTTCGCAGATCGTGCAGGACCAGTGCAGTCTCAAATCCGTCGTCGCTGCCATTGTGTAGGTGGTCTGTGTCGCTTTTTATGACACGGGAATTCCTCCATGATCTGAACAAGGTGTTCAACTACCAATTATTTATCAGTTATACGAAACCACTTCATGTATTATCAGTATTTGAGCACTTCTTTCATTAAATTCGCCTCCGTTCATTCATCATCCGCCAAATTGTTCGGATTTGTCTGTAACTTCGGCTGCTAATAGAAGATTTTCTCTGCCTCATGAACGTCTTCGAATCCTAATCGAGTTTATTCTTTCTGGAATCCTGGAATAGCTTTTGTAAAGAGTTCCCATATCTCCATCACTGGCTGTCACCGGCCTATGTGGATCGGGAGAGGGTTTTGCCAAAAGGATGTGGCAGCAATTCTTTGGCACCGATGTTGTGGAAGAGCTGGTTGGCTAGTCGCGATGTTGAACCAACGATAATGTGTGTATTTATGGATACAGCCTGACAATGTAAAGTTTAAGAATTCCGCCCACATGCCACTTTTTCCTGTCGTATAGTTTCCTAGATGAGCATAATCTACACTACTACCTATCATCGGCTCTTCGCAACACATTTCCGGATATAGCTGTATTAAGAAGACAGTATCTGTCGGTGATAAAAATTACGAAGTCCGACATGAAGTTATTCGCCTTTGGTTGCATCTTAAACCTCGTTACCAGCTCCTATTCAGTGCAGTTCGTCTTTAAAGCCGTCCATAATGCTTATTAAATGGGTACGTGACGGTCTGGTAAGCATAAGCAGGGATCGTGTTAGTGATATTCATGAACCGGATCTGCCTTAAACTTACTCAACGTTCCAGCCTTTAGTCAAAAAGCAGAGAAATGTCCATCGTTTTGGTGTTCTAGATAGGCACCAGGAGGAATATGGACTACATTCTGTTACTATTTCGTTTTTCAAACTTTTCAATTCCGTATTGTCCTTCGGTTTTCGTTTTTTATTCTGGGATAGTCTCCGATAATAGAATTATAAAAGAAATCACTGAAATCACTGTTTCTGGTTTCCTTAGGGATGCTCATACCCGGGTCTGACCACCTGTACACGTTGTTGAGTAGCGGATGAGAATAGCGTTCAGCACTGTTGAGTGGCTAGGTAGCATGGGCGGATCTCGTACGATTCGGCACTACAGATGACGGATATTTTTATGACCGTGGTTTTGTTGTGGCATTTTCTTTCTGCGTCTGGTAAGATTATCATCGTTATGTAATGGTGTATGTCGGTCGTCTACCCTTTGTTCTCTGAAGAATGACAACGTTGAACTTCACACGACCTCTGTTCTACACTATAAAAGCGGTGGAATGACGTAGTATTGCCTTAATAACGTCATCTGGAACCCGAGGTTTGTTAGGATGGGAACCACCACCCATGAACAAGTATGCATTCTCACCAAGGTGAAGCGGTAAACCGTAAAGGAGGGCCTTTACGATAATCTAAATCTCTAATTCCCCTTCAAATCACGTTCAAGAAATGAGCGATCCATTTTTATTGCTTGTCATTAAGATAGAGCACGTCTTCCAAAATTCCATCAGCGTTTCGAATTAATAGTTCATAACATTTCTCAACGGCTTCTCATCAATAATTTCCATATGCATTGAGTCTAATGCATGAACCAATCTAGTTAGAAAGAATACATAATGAGACCGTGAAATAACGTGTGAAATTTTGAGGTTGGGGCTTACGTGGCCGGTGTGATCGGTTTCGCTGTGACTATAGCGTTTTGTGTTACATACACTTTCTACCACAGTCGAGGTCTAGGTCGTAATCCATTCCTTGACCACTTAGAACTAGGTGAGTTTGGCAGTATCTTAATGTTTTAAAACTTTCCTTTTTTTTTTCGTATTCCCTTTATTTTTCTACATGGAGGATACCCTAGGTGCTGTATGAGAAAGTGTACGGAAATTGTTCCGTACAATTACCGTACTACTTTTAGTTGATCTGATTTTCGCATTTGTTGTTGGCTTGCCATGCCATATCCTACTGTTCTGGTCAATCGCAAAGGAGAAGCTACTATTCAGGTCAGATATAGTGTGCATGTTCAAATGATCACTTCAGGAAAATTCTGCTTTCTTTTCTTAGTCAATAATTAAATGGGAGCCAGGGCTCAGATTTCTGGTATTTTTGATTATCACTCACTTGGATGGAATGAGTAAAGCACAGTGACAAGAGATACTGGCCCATACTATTCCTGAATAACTCCATTAAATGAGTTCTCTGGTAGACATGTGCTTTCTTAGAATATGGAAATAGTGATGCCAAGGTATTCACAGTGAGTTACTATTGGAACTTGTTGGCATTTGTAGATGGTAAGAAGATCTTCCGCTTCGCGACGGAGTTTCTCACGGAATGGCAGCCTTTATTGGCACTGATTTGCACGTAGCTGGGTTTTCGGATAGGATTTTGAACTACTATTCACTTGAATGACCTTGCCCGTATGCGAACCGCTATGGTACGTCAAAGCTCAACACTCAGCTTAACCCGGCACTTTTCGTTATAGTAAGGCCCTGAACCATTGAGAGAGATTCATGAGGTAGAATCGGTTTTAGAGAATTTCGCGTCCGAACCGAGTCATCTTCGATGAATGACGCATAATAATCGACAGAACGTACGCTGAAGGTCGAACTCACAGAGAAAAGTTCCCACTGTGCTGTAAACAGGGTCAGGTCCGAGATAATCTTGTGCTAAGCCTCAGAAATTACTACCGCATTGAGATTAAGATCTAGTAATAAGCGCCAGAATCGACACACAGTATTCGTTACGCTTTTTGGGACGTGCCAGCCCATTCGTGTACAAGTCATAAATTCGCTGAGAGCCAGTAAATACAGATTTGGCCTATATAATAGGGACCTGGGAACAGAAGACGAATCAGTTGTCGTACACACATGAATGACACTTCTTTAGACTTTATACTGCTTCTGTGAGGTTCAGACAAAATCGACAGAAGTTTACCTTCCAACGTGTTACATCGTCTATTGAACAAAAGTATTTCAGTCCATTTTTGGTATTCTATGTAACCAATTTCGCGATGAATGTGATATTTGCGATAATCACTGTGATTGCTGCTTCATTGGATCTTCATCAACAATTATTTGGGAATATTAAGTACGATCTTGGATGGACAGTATTTCAGGTATGACATCGTTCTGGTGACTGATTGTATTCAATAAATCAACTATTATTTAACACATTTGCGACGAGGTGAGTTGGCAGCAACTAATATCTTGGGGACATATTGGCATTAAGCATCGTTGGAGGAAGGTGATTGAATGCATACCTGACCTTTGCAATGACTCGCGGCTGCCTACCGATATATCGAGTCAGTGCTGCTATCCTCGCAGACAAGTTTTGTACCAATTTACCGAGCCCAGATGGATGGAAGGCTTGGTGAGCGTTGGGCACGGGGACTGATCCCATGTGTATTGCACGGCGCCTCCAACCACTACGCTACAAGCGCCTCAAGCCTCTTTGTTATACTTCTTCGTAATTACTCCATAGCTTACGCAACATAGGTGATGTCCGTAGCTCAGGCCGAGGAATGTTGTACCGTACACTTCATGATTTACAAGATCTAGAGATTGATTCATTTTAAAATGCCAACAGTAGATCGTTTCTTCTTTGGAATCGACTGAAAATTTCAGGTAGTTTTTACCGCATCACAGGGACTTGCAATATATGTCGTTATGCGGTGTCGAAAATATGTGGCAGCTAAACTCCACTGGAAACAACGGAACAATGAGGTCAGGATATTTAGCACTACCGTCCAAATACACTATCGTTGAACCTCACATTGTCCACTCATTACGGGTCCATTAGAAGAAAGACTGAAGAGAAGAAACAACTGAGAATTAGCGAAACCTATACCTTTATCCTCCAATACTCACTTCGATATCCAAAACATGTGAAGAATTCTCCTCTTGTGATTTTCAGCGTTCTACATCAGTGGTTGCCGATGGAGTCACCATCGAGTAATCGACTTAAGAACAACATCGAATCCAAACATGCTGCTTATCGTCGCGAATCAAAGGAAATAGAACAGAATACTGGTTCTACAACTATATACATATATACTTGGAACAAGAATATGCTGATCATAATTCACGCTCAAAGTACCACTCTATTTATTAAACTGTAGAACGGAAATAAATGAGATCGAAAGGAAACCCTAAGCACTTACACAGATAAGTGCCAAGAATGGCAAACTAGTGCCTCCAATACGAACATCTCCACCCAGGAGTGTTTGTTCCATGGATTCCTTTATTTAATTCCATCACAATTGCACCAAATACTAACTAATGAGCAGGTTTATTTATTCATGATAGCTTCAATATATAAACAGTTTACAGCACGTAAACAAAGACAATATGAACAGAACCCACCGAATGTATGCGACCCAAAGAATGAGAAAAAATTATGTTTACAACGGAAGTAAATGACGCTTCTCACAGATGGAATTGAGGACCCGCTGTCGTACAACCTAACTGGATATTTCTACGTAAAGCGTTCATTTTCCTTCTAAAGAAAGCATCCAATACATATGACGAGCAAGAGATTTCTAGAGATTCGGAACTCAATATCTCGTTTCAGTTGCAAAAGACAGAAATCGTTAGCAGTAACAAAAACTTAACAAACAAAATGACAACAAGAACAGAAAATCGACAGCTAGACTATTACTCTAGGTATTCATCTTTCATCTTAACCGGAGAACCTATCAAATCCGCAAGCATAACGGCTGAGTACCTGCGTGATGGGCTAGGATTCAAACTATGCCTGAGCACCTCAAATGCCACTCGTTCTAAGCCTCTTAGCCGACTGACTGACTCTTCTTCAGAGTGCTTACCTACAAATACGAACTGACCTCGCGGCGTAAAATACATGTACCGAATAAAATGGTAGAACAATGAAGAGAAAGTAGTTCAATAGCCAAACAACTCTAGAATTACAAAGTATACAGAAATTGAACTTACAGAAGCAGAATCCAGAATTATTCTGATAAACGAGAACCATACATGATCGACATCCTTTCGTCGAACCTTGTGCCTCACGAATATCCCTGCTGAAGTTGTTGACCTAAATATTATAAAATGTGTTGGTACACAAAGAATTACTAAAAAATCAAGATAATTTTATTCTATCTGAAACACCAAAAACTACCAATATCTCACCATTGTAAAACTCCAAATCACAGTAAAACCTCGACCCTCCTCGAGCGAAGAAGAGTCGGAACAAGTCATGATCATTGCAAACAGCATTGTAATTGCGAAGTTAATAAGAATAAAAATACACTTAAGAGAAATACAACCATAACTATGCTGATATGTTTGCAAAACTTCTCACTGCTGGTGTCCGCGGTGAAGACCGAACACGGTATTACTCTTTCCGAGGAACTAAAGCGTTCACCATCAGACCATACGTGTCCTTCGTTTCGCCTTTCTCTCAGTCGTTTTACTGACCTATGAGCGCTGTCAGGAATCACCCGTAAATGGGATTGATCTGGGGAGCACAAATAGGCGTTGAACCCAGTTAAGATTAAGCTGTGGTGTAAATCACAACATAATCAGTTTTTATTTAGTGCATATCCTTCTTTCCTTCTTTTAATAGCAGGGTATTATGTGAAATATAACCATAATGATGCTGAGATATTTGGAAACACGGCGTGAGAGAAAAGCAAAACAGAGAACTCGCATGGTGTGGTGAGGAACGCGTTAGCCCCTGTCCCTGGAAAGGGTAATAGCGAGGTTTGATCCCCGCCGCAAACACTTACGGCCCAGAGTTTTGCAAATGCCTCAGCATCACTATGGTTATATTTCACACAGTACCCTGCCACTAAAAAAGAGTAGGCAGTAAATGAAAAGTAATGACACTTAAGAGAAGTTAAACCCGTGAATCGACAAAGCATGGGTCCCACTGAGAAATTTCGCAAGAAAACTATTGAACATACATTAGCAAGCGCAAGATCAATAAAGACCTTTCCTAAACGAAGTTTGTAGAAATGCGTTCCTTAAAAACGAATTATAGCAATGGACTACACCTTACATTCTACACCGATGTTTAGAAAATGCGACCACTTAAAATAGTACATTTCGGCTACCTTTTAGTAGTATCATTTACCCTTTGAAAAGGTTACCACGATGACAAAAGAACTCACAAGCTTGACCATATCCATGCCTGGAAGTGATGGATCGCAGAGAAGTGTTACACCTCCTTCTGCAGCAGCCTATAAGAATCGAAATTAACTTTCTTCGTCGTTTTTCCGAGGTTGTTAAATAGCATACGTTTCCTAACATTCAATAACACACATATAATACAACTGTAGCTGACGTTTCGACAGTATCGCTTTCATCAGAGCCGTTTTTTACGTGCCTTCCACTGAGGAAAAGCCACGGGAATGAGTCGTCAACCATATGCGACTCTGGTCAGCAACATTTCCTCAGTGGAAGGCACGCAAAAAAAACGGCTCTGAAGAAGGCGATATTGCCGAAATGTCAGCTACGGTTGTGTTGAAGGTGTGTGTGTTATTGTATGGAAGCAAACGTATGCTGCTTAACAACCTCGCCATTGCTGAGGAAGGAACGAATTTATAATCGAATGCCGAAGTTAATAGGAAGTCGATCCTAGGAACTGTTACAAGATCAACTTCTTTTCATAAACGTAAATCATTCGAACGATAATGTATTCACTAGAAAAGCTATACCTGAACTAACGACGAACTCCCAAGAAACGTTGCCATTTGTGCCAGGGCTTCGATGTCGTTGGAAGGTCGGAATATAGGATGTCTAGAAAAAAAAAAAAACAAACAATAATTATGATATTGTCTTCGTTCTTCGTATCTGCTAAATCCTAAGGCTAAAGGTAAGCGGTATATAAAGAAAAACGTATCGACTACGAACTTCTTCATCAGAAATGAGAGCATTGTAATACCAGCAGCAAAGACATCAATTTCTGTTGTTTGCTCGTCGAACCGCAGCAATACCTCCGGAGCACGATAACCTGGGGTTCCAGCCTGAAATCTAATGAAATCTTTGAAGTCGAATTAACATGCAAGAAAACATCTGAGGAAAACACTCAAATAAGAGAAGTAGTAAACATACCTTGTTAACGTGCTTTACTGGTAGTTCCCTGCAAGAATCACACACTTCAGAAAACGAAGAGCAGCCGCATTTGGGATGTTTAAGGATGCCAGAAGGCGTTGGCGTCAATACCCCACAACCGTCAATGAGTCTCTTACATCGCTTCTAAAATCACATTGGATAGTAACAAAAAAAGTGATTTCAAACATCCAAACAGCCGTGGAGAGCGGTATTTTAAACCTATGAATGTGGGTATAATAAATTAAAAAGTACCAAATCCCCTATAATATAGATGATATGAAAGGTTACTGTAGTGCCTCTCAACTTTACTAAAATGCAGGAAGAAAATCCATAACAACTTCTAAGCAGAAACTGAAATAAACAAGGAAATATGAGCGATGTTCTACCCTACATATGGACATGTATATAGACAATAACGTTGTTAGATGATGAAAGAAAACGCGCAAAATAATGCACATCTGTAAAAGTTAAAATCTCTCGACGTTGATCAATCCTTAAGTGATGCGCCATGCATTCGCCTTCATTAAGGATTGTTTGAGGTGACTGAATACATATCTGCCTTTTACAGCGACTCGCTGTGGCCTATCGATTCATCGAGTCAGTGCTACTATTCTTCTAGACAAGTCTGATACCAATTTCCCGACCCCAGAGGGATAGAAGGCTTGGGGACCTGGAGTACGGGGATCGATCCCATGTGCATTGCAAAGTGGCTCCGACCACTGTGTTACACGCAGCCATCCGTAGTAAATCATTATTTTAGCTAATAAAGAACAAAAAAACATACTGCGGGTGGCGGACCAATAGGACTGTTGATAATATTTTCCTTTAAAGATGTGTCTGACGCTTTTTGACTTTGGACTGGTACAGCGAAATGAGATAGGCCAAAGTCCACGAGAAGATACCTATGAGGAAAACGAATATGCGATACTGAACAGCAGTCGTAGTGTGATAAAATAAACAATAAGTAATCTTAAGCAGTAATGTTAATAGGTGAGCTCCGGAACAACGTCGATCACATCATCGTAAAAAGCTGAGGTGACCCAGCAACGGAAATTTGAAACGGACATAACAAAACAGATAAAAACAGGTCTGATACCTCATCACTCACCTTCTTTTAGCTCGGTTATAAAGAAAATTAGCCGGCTTAATATCTCGATGAATGACTCGATACCGATGTATGTGATGTAGAGCTATGAACAGATTACGCATATATTGCAGGGTTTCGTCAAGGGGCATTTTATGAATGAGGCTCTAAAAAAGTACCATCAGTTGGTCAGTAATACAATTTTGAAGTATGACAGGTCTAATAGAACGTGAAAACAAAAAAGAAACCGTCCATATGTTTTTTCGCGAAGTTCCAGAAGTTAATACAGGAAAACAAACATCAGAAACCATGTTATGGAAGTAAACTTATCTATAAACTCTTCAGACATTCCCTACTGCCAAAGAAAGCCAATGTAAACACTACCCAGCAATTCATTTTCAACTGCCAAAGGGTTTATTGATGGTATGGGTAATTCGTGGGGCGTGTGTAGTGCAGTGTTTAGAGAAGCCCTGCACAATACTCATGGGATGAATCCCGCGCTCCAGGCTCACCAACCCCTCCATCCTTCCGGGGTCGGCAAATTTGGTATCAAACTTATCTGAGAAGATAGCAGCACCGGCTCGATACGTCGGTGGGCCACCGCGAGTCATTGTAAAGAGCAGATATGCATTCGTTCACCTCCAGCGATGTTTAATAAAGTCGAATGCATCGGTCATCCCTCAGGGATTGATCAACGCCGAGAGCTTTATCCTTTCTTTACTCTATTAGCGACCGTAATAGTTCCAAACTTCGAATAAGTAAAAATACAGCTAAAAACTCAATCGCTTGAACTCATATGTTCCATCTTATTAGCAAATTGTAGAAAATCATACAAGTGCTTAAAGTGCAATGGAAGTATAAATAAACTTGTAAGCCTGAAGGATTGAGGTCCACTGAGCAGAACTTTAATATGAGGTGTACAAACTTACAAAAATGTCATCATGAGGGAAGAAATTCATCACAACGAACACACGATCCAGCTCTCGATAAGCAGCTATGAATTCGACTACGTTTGGACCACCAGATATCGTTCGCAGAACCTTAAGACCGTCTACTTGAATAGATGGATAGTTCATTTCTTTGAATCATAACTGTAAACGCCAGTACACTTTCGATTTGGCTGGTAAATTGTTGTTCGGTAAAAGTTCCTTAGGTGGATGGAATCTTGAAAGACGTGATAGGGTTTCCCAAACCAAACCAAACAGTAAAACAGATACTGGGAACAGATGCTGAAGAAAAACATGGCTACCAAGCCGCACTATTTTTGGAACAGAATGTGGAATGAAAGTGAAGGCACGAACAAGAAAATGAAGAGAATCCTACCAATGCATACCTTCAATTCCATAGCGATATGTTTAGGACTGAATCCTGGTGCCGGGACTTTCAACGCATACAACTGAGAGGGTTTTTTACGACACTCCACAGTCCAGACCTTCCCAAAAGAACCTAAGTGGTACACAAGTAAGTAAAGGGAATAAAATAGCCCTACCTTTATGAACATACCTGCCCCTACAGGGTCACCCACAACAAAGTTATTAGTAATCCATTTCGATCTATAAACAATGTCAACACGTTTCTTCGAGCTCGATGGACGATGAGAGGACACTGGGTGGCGGTTTGTTAACATAGTTGTACTAGCGTATCTATATATCTAGATTAAAAATCCTGGCACCAATGCTTTCACAAAAAAAGGAGGACTTTTAAATGTTAGTAATTCGAACAACATTGAATAAAATGCTGTAGATATCCAAACCCTCCCAAAGGTTTACCAACTTATCGTGGCTGGAAGGTGTTCATGAGTGTCGGGCTGTGAGGTACAGTGGAGGAGATTGATCCTCCCAGCAGGGCCTCTCAAGCTGAGAAAGAGTCCGGCGTTTCCATCAGGAAGCCTACCAAAGAGGCACCAAATGCCATGATCGACCACCGTCCTGGTATGAAACTAGTCGCATGATGGCAAATCTCCCTGATCCATAACGGTGACATTGCTTCCTGTGGTGGTGATGACAGGAGCAGATTTTGGTCAGGCTGACTTCGGGACTCCAGGGAAACACAATGGCTGAACCACCAAAACTCCGAAAAAATGGAGATTATGTTGGAGCCCGCATAACCAGTGAGGACGAGCCATTCAAGGATTCAAGTAATCCTCACCAATTGCTAAAATAATAGTTCGAACACTAGAAAGAAACGAGAACGCATTGAATTCTTCCAAACAAAAAAGAAAAAGGCTAGCCAAACATACCTTCACGATAACCTACATCACAAACGGACTATCCAAGCCATAAACTGTGGCGTTTCTGAATATCTCATGGGTTCAAATAATTGTGAATTACACAGCACGCATTCAATACGACGACAGATCTGTTAACCCTACATGCATTGCTGTATTGAGCCCACCCCACTTTCGGAGTCGCTCCAGTGGATTGTTCTAAATTTTATTTACTTCCTGTTCTTTTTTAAAGCAGTATATTGTGTGGAGTACGACCATAGAGAAGCTGAGATATGACCAAAACTTGGAAGAGCCTCATTTGTGCTTCGAACCGGCGATCTGAGAGGGCTCACGTCTATGGGAATAACCTTAGTAGTAATCCCCTTAAGGGACTTTGCACTAATCTTTGTCTTGATTAATAAGTTAGCGTTTTCTTCATTGTTAATCTAAGATTTATTCAACAGTGGCAAACGTTTAGCGACAGTTCTATCTTCTCCGAAGCTGGGAAAGGTCAGATTTGTACGCGTTTTACTCGGCGAAAGACTTCCATAAACCTAACAGATGAAAGCCAGAAGTAAAATCTTAATGGTATTGGAAAACCTTTAAATTTTTGGTTTTCTTCAAAGCCCGGACGGGTCAAGCTGACTGCAATCGGCCAAATACCTCTGTAACCCCAACAAAAAACCAAGATCTCAATCGCATTGGAAACAAAGTAACCAAAAAAGCCAAAATATCAGAGTTAGCCAAAATACAAAATGGGCTACTTTGTTTCCAATGCGATTGAAATCTAGGTTTCGTTGTTTTTCTATCGGGATTATGGAGGTGTTTAGCTGACTAGATTGCAGTGAACTTGACGCTTCATGGTTCTGGATAAAGCGAAATCCACCGAAAAAGTGTCAGATTTTGTGAGTAAGCAGTATAGAAACAACCTCATATGTACTTATCAAGAAAACTGAACTATTGATCGATGTGAAGTTTAGCAGAAGTCGTTCTTGAACATTTCCTTATCATTTTATTTTACTTGACCCGTCATAATATGTTTTGCGGTTCCCAGTACGTTTTGTTTCGGCAGCTTCGTGAGGAATTCGTCTTTCTTGTGAATGTTGTGGAATGTTGGTCATGTCAATTCTCCTTGTAATCTTGAAGATAGCTGAGCTAAGGCGTTCCCACGTGCACTGGAGGAGAGCGTAGTGGCGAGGATGGAACTAGCGCCTTTGGTTCCTGATGGACAGCAGCTCTAACCACTACGCTGTCCTCGCACTGTCATGGAAATTATAAAGGCATTTGCTTGAGTAGAATTCATTTGAACTTGGCTTTTCCATGGCCTAAAGCGAAACCATCGAAAGGCTGCCAGTGTTGAATGAAGCGCTTACTAACATCATTATGTCTGCTCAAGAAGGAAACATTAACTAGTCTTAAAGTTCCTGGAGAAGTTTAATAGTGTAAGAAATGGACGGCATTATGTTAAGATCTTTACTTCAAACATATAGGAAGTTTGCAACCGTTAATGTGGACAACTGTTCAAAGAAAAAAGTGATGGCAGATCTGCATATTGTAGTGTTTTCTTTCGATTTCGATTGGCCTTCACAGACAACGTTTTCAGATTGTTCTCATCGTCTTCGATAATCTCATTAATGTTTCGTTAAATGATTTATTCATACACAGAAGCAACGGGTTCCTGAAAATTGCCATCACATACTTTGTTATGAATTGAGAACACTGGAAGGACAATAATAGTGCTAGATGTTATGTTTGAGGAGTGTTTCAAAAATGTGCAAGAGTACACAGAAGAGTTAATAGGATAGGTAGGAAACAAAAGCCGTCGGAAGTACTTGCAGAAGAAAACCGAGAAAGGTCGATCTGTTGAGAGAAAAGCACGACAAGACGGCCGGGCCTTTTGCTTCGCTGGTGGGCGTAATGTCCGGTATGACTTGATATTCACCCATAGCGAGAAGAATTAGGCGCCAAATAGATGCCACACAAATTTGGGGCAGCTCTCGAAGTCTTAAAATGGTCTCGCTGAATTACGATTGTTAATTCTTTATTTTTTTTTGTTTTTTCTCCACGTTAGGGTACTGAGGTAGTCATGCAAGGGTGTTTCCATATTGTCATCGAAGGCGGAGAATAGAAATCCAGATGAGTAAACTAGCTGTTATAGATCACATTCAGTCACGAACACTAATATACTATAGTGAGGTGCAAAATCATTCACAAAGTTGTCGTTCAAGTAGAAAAGTGGCAGAAAAAACATGAAGTTTCTCGGTCACCTCAGCTTTTTCCAGAGGTTTTGGACTTGGTTTTTCATTTGAATACAAAAGGGTATCCGGAAATTCATTGGCAACATCGAATATCGTGTCCGATACCTAAAATTGAGTTCGTCTCTCCTTACTTTTCACTATAACTCATCAAAAATTCGGTTTTTATGGTTCCATTCTCAGGATAAAATTCGGTTTTTTGTGGTCCATTCTCTATAAAATTCGGTTTTTTGTGGTCCCATTCTCTCTATAAAATTCGGTTTTTTGTGGTCCCATTCTCTCTATGAAATTCGGTTTTTGTGGTCCCATTCTCTCTAAGAAATTCGGTTTTTGTCGTCCCATTCTCTCTATAAAATTTGGTATTTGCGGTCCCATTCTCTCTATAAAATTCGGTTTTTTGGTGAAATTCTCTCCATAGAATTCGGTTTTTGTGGTCCCATACTCTCTATGAAATTCGGCTTTTGTGGTCCCATTCTCTCTATGAAATTTGGATTTTGTGGTCCCATTCTCTCTAAGAAATTCGGTTTTTATGGTCCAATACTCTCTATGAAATTCGGTTTTTGTGGTCACATTCTCTTATGAAATTCGGTTTTTGTGGTCCCATTCTCTCTACGAAATTCGGTTTTGTGGTCCCATTTCCTCTATATCATAGCCAATTTCTCTACGTCCTTCTGTTCCTGGAGAATTGTCAGCTTATCTCAAAGATTTCTGTTTTCTTTTTTACAGCGTTTCCCGTTGATACTTGCACATGTGCGGGCTGAGGTTTCGCGATTTCTGAGAGTTTTGAACGTTTTAGACACGATAATTTAGCTCGTTCTCTTAGATGGGTTGGATATTTTTCTTAGCAAAACTCGAGAAAAAAGGGAAACTTCGTTTATATACAGTCATTATGTTGGCAACGTAGCGTATTAGTTAGAGGTGCTGTGCAGTACACACGTAGTTGTTGGCTATTGGACAAATCAAGGCTTTTATCTGTCGGAGGTTGGAAATTTCGACCAAGCTTCATCTGGAAGGATAAAAACTGACTGTCTTGACACAAGAGTGGGTATCCGTATTTCATCGCATAAGCAAATTATTCATCGTATTTTTAACGTTTTGTTTCCTGCCTTCTATAATTTTCATGGCAGGTTACTAAGCGAAATACAACCACAACGTTGCTGAGATAT